ACGTGCACACGTGCACCATGGGTGGTGGCATGGTGAATGCTTGTCATGTGCCATGACCCTCACCAGTTGAATGGCTCATGCGTGTGCGTGCATGTGTACAAAACTGGGTGTATGCATTGCAGGTTGGCTCGCACGCCAAAGCCATCAAGCTGTCTGGTCTGGCCTTCTTCTTTGGGGTCGTTGTCTACTGCTTTGAGGTACGGGAATTGCTAGCTCTACTCTCCGGAGTATTGCTCATACCACCACATCAGATCCCATTCTGGGAAACGCCACCACGTCACACTTGCACACAGCAACATACAGCGTACAACACACAATGCACCGACCACACACACACACACACACACACACTCAAACACACACGCACTCACACACGCACTCACACACGCACTCACTCACTCACTCCAACACACACGCACTCACACACACACACGCACACACACACACACATAAACACACACTCAAACCACTCACTCAAACACACACACACACACTCTCTCATGTGCGTGCCATGCCAGGGTGCTGGGATGGTGCTTGCGCTGGAGATGTCGGTGCCAACGGAGCGACGGCACGAGTTTCCGCGCGTGTTTGCCAGCGCCCTCGCCCTCATCACCACCCTCTACATCGCCTTTGGTGTCTCCGGGTATGCATCCTTTGGTGGGTTCACAGCATACACATGCGCACGCACACGCCTGTTCTCGCACACACGCGCACGTCAAAACCGATTCTTGTGCGCACACACACACACACACACACGCACACAATTGAACATGCACACACACACACACACAATTGCACATGCACATGCTCATGTTATGAGAGGGATGAGGGTGGTGGTTGGTCACTCACTGTACGGGCAGAGTAGGGTTGGGAGGAGAGAGGGCTTCATGCTTTCCCTTTTGTATTGTTGGTGATGAAGTGATTGTTTCACACATGCACACACAGAAGCTCAAGCGTCGCACAAGTGTGCACGCGTGGTCGAATGTGTATGTGCTTGTGGTTTTAAGAGGCGAGGAAAGGGGGAGAGTGCGAGCGAGTGTGTGAGGTGGTGAGCGAGAGAGAGAGAGACGGAGAGTTGGGGGTGGGGGTGGGGTGGGGTGGTTGTGATGATGTATTGTTTGATTATTCGTGTTTGTCGTTCCCATGGTATTATCACCATCACGCATCAACAATCACCACTTTCACCATCCCCATCACGATCATCATCATCATCACCATTCTCCCCACCCTTCCTGCGCTCATTCGTTTCTTTCTCCACGCTGCTAACGCCCCGCTGCTGCTACGTTTGTTCTCGCCCTACACCATCACAACCGCACACATACAAACACACACAAACACACACACACGCGCGCGCACACGCACGCACACGCACAACACCCGTGTGTGCACCAGGGGAGAACACGGAGAAGATTATCACGCTGAACATGCCGCCCGGGATATTCCCGGCGCTCATCAAGGGCTGCCTTTGCTTCTCCCTCTACTTCACATACCCAGGTACCCGCCGCCGCGTGGTGTGTCTGTGTCTGTGTCTGTGTCTGTGTGTCTGTGTGTCTGTGTGTCTGTGTCTGTCTGTGTGTCTGTGTGTGTGTGTGTGTGGGTGGGTGGGGGGGTGGTTGTTCTGGGTCATTGCCTGCGATATCAACATCAACCTCCCGTCTAACTCCCCCTTCCCACACCTTCAAACCCTCACGCGGCTCCATTGGTCTGCGGTAGTGATGATGTTTCCCGTGTCGACCATCCTGGAAAAGCAGCTCTCCAAGACGCGCTCTGTCACATACTTCAAGGGGGTGAGAGCAAAACGCTTGACGCCCTCTTGCCCCCATCTCTATCTTGCTGCTGCTGTGGTGGTGGTGGTGGTGGTTGCCGCATTCGTCGTTGGTGGTGTCATGATGATTACCTTGTATTGCGCACTCTCACGCATGTATGCACACACCCACATACACACGCACACACATCGTTTCCACCGCCGGCGTCATGGTAGAATGTCCTGCGCTGGGGGCTCGTCGTCATCTCTGGCCTTGTCGTGGTGCGTAGCGCGCGCGCACACACACACACACACACACACACACACACACACACACACACAAACACACACACACACACACACACACACACACACACACACACACACACAGCCGGCTGCAGTGGTATCAGCTTGCGCTGGACGGGCTGATGTGAACAGCTGGCGGTGCCGGACTTTGCGAACATCATGGGGCTGATTGGCTCGACCTGCTGTATGCTGCTCGCCCTCATCATGCAGACCTTTAAGCAACAACTTGGCCACTTAACCAGCAGTGATGTAACCCGCCATCACAACTTCACACATACACTGCTTCACACATGCCAACCAACTCCCATAATCACCCCTGCCAAGCGTGCATGCATGCATCGTGACGCACAGGTCTTCACTTTGTTCATGTTCACAAGCGCCCACGAGCGCACATAGGCCAATTCACACCAGCGCGCAACTTGCAGTTGTGTTGTGCCATACTCGCCATGCGACATGGCAGCTATTCATTGCCACAATTTCTTCTCTTGCTTGTTTCTGGTGCACAATGGTTGTACCCTTGATAAACAACCCGCGCAACATATGCAATGGATGCCCAACACGAGCAGCGCGCGTGACACTGGTGATGTGTGCTGTCTTGCGTCGCATACTGCGGTGGACAAGCCGAGATCGCGAGTCAACATAAAACGCCAGGCACAAATAACGGCTGCGCAAGGGAAGGGAAAAATAATTATGTGGTGTGGTCGTGGTGGTTGACGAAGGGTGTTGGCAACAGCATCCAGCACGCAGCACAAGTCTCCCTTCTCCCTTGCGTCTCACAATTCCTATGCTCATCCTATGTTGTCGCACATCCGTCACGAGATGCGCTCAGTCAGTAGCAGCGTCGCGCCACTCCGGGGTATTTGGATTTGAGTTCCTGCTTGAACTGCCGGAACAGCATGCGGTTGGACGATAATTCCTCTTGCTTCGTTGGATGGAAGGCCGTGGGGACCTTGAAGCCTGCATGCATGACAAATGCATCGTACAGCACCTGCAGGCAACGCGCAGAGTGTGATGTTACAGGCACATCCACAGCAACGTGGGTGTGTGTGCGTGTTTGTGAGTATGCGTGTTTGTGAGTATGCGTGTTTGTGAGTATGCGTGTTTGTGAGTATGCGTGTTTGTGAGTATGCGTGTGTGTCTGAGTGAGTTTGTGTGAGTGAGTGAGTGTGTGTGTGTGTGAGTGAATGTGTGCTCTCGAGATCTCCCACCTCCACCAGCTTCAGGGGCGCAAGCATACAAGCAGAACAGTGTACAGATACACTCCTCATTTTCGTGAGCACGGACCTTGAACTTGAATCCCGCAATGTGCGTTTCACAGACTTGGGAGATGCGATTAAACCCATCTGTGTGTGTGGGGGGGGGATCAACCACAGAAGCATGCGAGCAAGATGTGAATGGTCAAACAGTCAAACAAACAAACGAACAAACACAATGGACAAACAAACAAGTACACTTTACGCTTGGAGCACTCACATTGCTTGAATCTCTCGTCATATGGAGGACAGGTTGATGCCTTTGCGATGTAAAACGGCTCCCAGGGGTCCGTCCACGGCACTAGGCGAACAAGGCGTAAGTGATCGAGCACAAGTGCGTGTGTGTGTGTGTGTGTGTGTGCGCGTGAGACGTGCGGTTGAGTGAGGCGATGCATACAGCTGAGGTGGAGCGTGTGTGCACAAGTGAGGGGAAGGCGGGAAGGAGAAGCCAACAAGATGAAAAGTAAGGGCGAGTGTCTGAGCGTTGAGGGTCGTGCGTGGAAACAACATCATCATCTGCAATGTGATTCAGGGACGCGATACCAACCTTCATACGTCAGGTCTGATGGCGTTGCTTCCCAGATGTCGTATCTGGTTTGCCTGCAGGCACGAGCAAAGGAAAAATATGGAAATTCACGCTCGTGTCAGCGAGGAAACCGCAACAGCAAGGTGGCATGCACACATGCACAGACATACACAGCCACAAGCAGACACAATGCACACGGCACACGCACGCACGCACACGCATGCACACACAATGCGCAAGACACTCACTTCTGGCACTTCCAGCAGACGTCCTTGTAGAAGGGCTGCGCCGTGCCAGCTGCAAGTGTAGCCAACATCTCCTCACGCGTTGTCGGGAACTCATGCACAGGTAACTCCGCCGATATTTCAAAGGCTTGCGTTCGTGGTGGGTGTGTTGTGGCGGGGGTTGGTGTCGAACAAGTGAACGGGATGCCAAGACACTGCATCAATGCACCTTCTGCTACTCCTTACATGCCACCGCACCTTAAACGTTGCATGCAGGCAAGCGGTCAACAATACCTGGAAGCACAAACGCGGTGTTGCTGATCTCAGCAGGATCAAGTTGAGCAGCAGCATCGGAAAAAGCACGCACGAGGCTTGCTGACGGCACGATGTCGACATCCAACACCGTGATAAACTTGCTGGTGGCTATTCATGCATGCATGCAATGCGTGCACGCACGCAGTGAGTGTGATGTTGGGGCAAGAGGGTGTGCGTCGCGATAGGAAGGAGATTATGAGTTGAGACACAACCAGTCAGGCAGAAGGGCAAGCAGCCAGGCGGCCCTGAGGCAGACAGACAGGCAGACAGACAGAGAGACAGGCAGAGAGACACACACACAACACACACATGCGCGCACACACACATGCACACACAGGCAGAACACACACACACACACACACACACATGCACGCACACAGGCAGAACACATGCGCGCACACACACATGCACACACAGGCAGAACACACACAGACAAACATACAGGCACACACACAGACACACACAGCGGACAGACCGTATTGACGTGCAATGTTGCGGAGTGCGTTGTTTGGGTATGGAAGGTGTTTGCCGTAGTTCTCCATGGGCTGATCCCGTCCCGTGAACAGCTGCTCGCAGTCCATGGTGAGTGTGTTCACCGCAGCATCCAAATCAAACGCATACGTGTGCAGCGCACCGCGATCCAGCACCACATGCGCATCCACATTGCTGAGGGCAGGAACACCGTGCAGTGAGAGCGCATGAGCACACACACACACACACACACACACACACACACACACACACACATTCGTGTGAGTCGCTCAAACAGCGACACTGCAGACACTGGTGAAGCGTGTGTTCATGTTCAAGTGCAGGCACGTGGCCAATGACACCGTTGTTGGCGGCAGGCGTGCATTCCCATGGCCACATGATCATATGTCACACCCATCTCAAGCATTGAACACACTCAGACACACCTGAAGTCTGCGCACAAGGCGAGGCGCGCCAGGGTGGCGAGGGCGAGGGCGACGTCCTGGTTCACAAAGACGGCGATGGAGACAGCGCCTTGTGCTCTGAATGCGTGTGCCTGGTGTCGAGCTGCCTTCACGTTGTCCAGGGACGCATGTGTGCAGATGGTCACCGACGACGCCGCCAGCTCACCCGCCACCCCGCCGCCGTCCACAAATGATGTAGACTTGATGACATTGGGCAGCACAAGGTACTCTCCATGCTCTACCGCGTTCTCAATCAGCGCCGCGATGCCATCGCCGTCGATGGCGGCAGCAAACAAGCTGCCCACGTGAACGTCGCTGATCAGCAGTCGGCGCCGTAGGTCTGTCCTCGCATCCAAGCTGTCACGCCCGCCATGCTGCCGGCTGTGTGCGTTGTCGTGCTGATGCTGCTGCTGCTGGTGGCTGCCGTGGTGGTCTCTGCTGTCGCCTTGTTCCCACGTCAGCACCCACACGCCAGCATACTGCACCACCAGCACCAGCAGCAGCACACCCGTCACCGCACCTCCACCGCTCATCATCAACTTCACCTTTTCCGTTCCGGTGGCAAAATTGATTTTACCGCCTGCCTGCAAGCACCACGCTTGTTGTTTTGTCGCCAAGGAGCAAGCCTCTTGTTTTGTTTGCCAAGCAAGGGCATCACAACGTCAACAAGCAGACACACAGACGACGAGAGGTCGCCCCAAACACAACAACAACAACACGTACAGCCCAGTCTGCTGCATCATTGGGTTACTTCTTGCTTGCTTGCTTACAGTAGTAGCTGTGACCGCTGTTGTTGACAAGGGTGGTCGAGGCCTCTACCCCCTGTTTGCTCTGTCTTGCTCCCTTCTCGTGGCTTTCGACCGTTGGTCGACGCAGCCCGCTCGCACGCACGTGCAGCGCGCCAGGATGTCTCTTGACTTGGCCGTGCCGGAGGCGCGGTTCGACCGCGCACCGAGCGCCACCAGCACGCGGCTCGGTGCCGCGGACAGCCTTGTCAATGATATTGCTGGCATGACCGACACGGACCTGTTCAAGTCCATTTCAGATGTCACCTACCAAGGTCTGTGTGTGTGTTTGTGTGTGTATGTATGTATGTATGTATGTATGTGTATGTGTGTGTGTGTATGTGTATGTGTGTGTATGTGTATGTGTGTATGTGTATGTGTGTGTGTGTGTTCATGTCTTGCGGTGTTCATGCGACTGCGACTGCGTTTTGTGATCGGCCTTGCTTGCGGGCTTCAAGTGTACACGTTTGCTTGCTTGTCCACGCCTCACGTTCGAGCGTGTGCCATGTGACGCTTCACCAAACCCTCAAACAGAACAACATCAGGTGTCGTTCATGCACTTGACGGCCATGACAAACAATCTCAACGATCTACAAGGCTTGATCAACCAGCACCCAGACTATGTCAACGCTGTCGACTCCCTTGATCGCACGCCCCTCTACTTTGCCATCCTCGCAAACCAGCCAAAGACCTGCAAGCTGCTGATCGAGTGAGTCGTCACAACCCTCCGCACTGCATTGACAACACGGTTTTTCTGCAGTGAGGTTGCCGGAGTTGCATCAACCACAACACAACCACACACACACACACATACACACACACACATACGCACGCACACTTTTTCACACTTCTTCACACTCGTTCACACTCGTTCACACACACACACACACACACTCACTCCCTCGCACATATATCAGTGCTGGAGCCCTTGTGGATGTGCAAGATGCAGATGGGCGAACGCCCGGGCACTGGGCAACGTTCCATGGCTGCCCCGAATGCCTTGACGTGCTTCTTGCCGCTGGTGCCACACCTGACGTTCGCGATAAAGATGGTGAGTCAGTCGTTGTCATGACGTTTGTCGTGCATGCGATTGGGCGCTCTCTTGCCGGCATTGTCTTTGTACATTGTCCTGTACAACATCGTCGAGCGGTCAACCCCTGTTGTTGCTGTGTGGGGCTCGATATTCAACAAACCCCTTGATGTAGCTCACTCGATTGCATACACGCACATACACATGCACGCACGCACGCACACACACACACACACACATGCACGCACACGTACACACACACACACACACACACACACACACACACACATGCACGCACACGTACACGACACCAGGTCGAACCATGTTGCACTGGGCAACGGCACAGAAGCAAATCAAATGCCTGCAGCATCTGCTGAAGCAGCAGGACCTTGACTTAGACACACGTGACTCGGTGAGCGTCTTCGAACCGTTGAATCGGGGCTACCCAACTGGATACTTGTCACACAGCATCCACCTCGCTGCGTGAGATGTCGTTTTCACCTTTCTTGCCGCGGTTTGCTCACACAACACCGTGCCATGCTCACATGTGTAACAGGAGGAGATGACCCCTTTGCACTGGGCATGCTTCCACAACCACGCAAAGCACGTACAACTGCTCTTGAACGCGAAGGCAGACATCACGGCCGTTGACATGGAAGGCAAGACCGCTCTTCACTGGACCAGCGGCAACAAGGATGCGGCTGTCGTTAAGGTTCGCTGCATGCTTCCATTTCCACAAGCACGAACGATGCGGCATGTTTGTCTAGTTTGTGTTGCACATGCATCCATGCATGGGTGGTGTGCATGCCGGGTGATTACTGGGTTTTGCACACTAGTACATCCACCGCCCGCGCTTGCCTTTGTTCTCACGTGCACGTGTGCGCGTGGTCATCTAATGTAGGTGTTGCTTGCAAGCAAGCCCGAGCTGGCCAATCAAGGCGACAATGAAGGGCGCACACCGCTGCATCTTTGCGTCGGAGATGCGTCAAAAGCAATTGCCCAGGCAATTCTCAAGTACGCGCGTGCGTGCGTGTTTGTGTTGGTTGTGTGTGCGTGTTTGTCCAAATGCATGTGAGATGCATTGAAGTGAACGCAATATTCAGAGGTGTGTGGACGCTTCGTTTGCAGTTGCTGTGTGCCCGCGATGCCACTCACATCCATTGTCATCACTTCTTGCAGGTCTGCCAAGACAGACCCGACGCTCGTGGACCACACGGGACGCACGGCCCTGCACTGGGCGGTCGCATTGGCAAACGACACCATGATTGGCGTGCTTGCCAAGCACCGCGACAGCGTGCGTGTTCAGGACGAGCAAGGCGCCACACCCGTGCACTATGCAGCCCAGCTTGATTCAGAGCCGTGCACCAAGGCGCTGCTCAAGAGCATGCCCAAGGATATGGTGGACGTGGAAGACAGGGAGCAACGCACGGCCCTCTTCTGGGCCATTGCGAAAGGTACGTGCGTGTGTGCGTGTGTGCGTGTGTGTGTGTATGACAGTGCGTGCGTATATGAACTCGCACGTGCCATGTGCAAGCTTCCCCATCACAAGTCAGATGCATTTGCTTGTCTGCCCGCCTGGTTGCTTGCTTCGTTCACACCGTGTACCGCTTGTTACACATTTTGGTCTGGCCTCTCCATCACTCGAACCAGATCACCTCAGCACGGCTGAACTCCTCCTCAAAGCTGGTGCAAACCCAAACCACGTCGACTCAACGGGCCGCACAAGTAAGTCATGCTTTGTTTGTTTGTTTGTTTGTTTGTTTGTTTGTTTGTTTGTTTGTTTGTTTGTTTGTTTGTTTGTTTGTTTGTTTGTTTGCTGCACACATTTGCATTCTGCCCTTTCTAACGCAACCCGGCCTTCCCTACCAAACGCCGCACCGATGCTGCCATCCCCATCACAAGTCCTGCACATTTCGGCGCTGAGCGGGAAGTTGGGCGCTGTCAAGCTGCTCACAAAGTACAAAGCGGACAAAGAAATCCAGGACTCGGCCCAGCAGACACCGCTCTTCATCGCCTGCGAAAATGGATTTGCGGACCTTGTGTCCTACTTGCTTGGTAGGCTGGACGAAGAGTGTGTGCTTGTGCGTGCGTGTGTGTGAATGCTCTCTGCCCTTTTTTTGTTTTAATTTGGTGTACGTTTTGCATGAGTTGCTTCGGACGCGCAAGTGCTGTCCAGTGATCGGTACTTGTGCTGCTGCCTTGTACTCAACAATCCCCCATGTACTCCTTTTTGCATTTGCAGACAACAAGGCGAACGATGCCATTATTGACGCAGAGGTGCGTTTCAACAACATTTCACGTGTTGCTCCGTGTACGACCTCGCTTGCTTCACACCTGTTGCTTGTTTGCATGCACCAAAAGCAAACAAACCCACGCCCTTCCCACACGCATGTGTAATCATGTGCCATTTCCGCCCCCCACTCTCTTTGGCCACTCGCACACCACCACACCCAGGGCCGCAACATTGTACATGCCGCTGCCATCAGCGGGAACAAGAACGTGCTGGCTGAATGTCTCCAGTTGCGCCCGCATGACATGAACAGCGTGGACGAGCGCGGTGAAACGGTGCGCCGTGTGCTTGCTCGATACAAGTGTGCTGTGTGTTGCTGGAAAATGCATGTACCTCCATAGCTTTGCTGTTGCTTCCGCATGCACTTTGCTGTTCGTTGTCTCAGTGCTTTGGAAATGGGTGTACTATTTGTACTCTCATGCCTACTTGCTGACAAACGCTGCCACTCACTGCCCCGTTTTGCCGCGTTCTCTTGTTCCCATGCACCGATGCAGCCTGTGCACTACGCTGCGTACTTTGGCCAGTTTGACTGCGTGCAAGAACTCCTCAGCAGCGGCGCTGAACCAAACTGCTTCGACCTCGAAGGGGTCACCCCTCTGCACTGTGCGTCCTCGAGCGTGCTGTGTGTTTGCGTCTGTGTGTGTTGTGTGAGTGTGCGTGCGTGCGTGCGTGTATGTGAGTGTGTTTGTGCGTGCGTGTGTGTCCGTGTGTGTGAGTGTGTGTGTGCATTCATGCGTTTGCGCGTGTGCATTTGCGCGTCTGTGCGTCTTTGTGTGTGCGTTTGTGACTGTGTCTGTGTGTGCACAAATGTACACGCGTGTGTATGTCCAATTGCATCTCCTTCTTGTTACTGTCATCGTTCTTCAGTTTGCTGTGCTCATGAGCACGTGCCACTGTCCGCATCATCACTATGCAATCATCCAGGGGCGTGCTCGCAAGGATTCCCAGACGTGGTGCGCGAATTGCTGAACTACAACGCGTATCCAAACTTCACCGACCGGTCTGAGGACCAGCTCACACCTCTGGATTACGCCTTGTCAGGTGCGACAACCATGTGATTTTGCTCTTGCACGTGCGCGCATGTGCAGTGTGTCTGTGTGCGTCTGTGTATGTTTGTATGTGTGTGTGTGTCTGTGCGCTTCTTGTGTGCACGTGTATGTGTATGTGTATGTGTATGTGTATGTGAAAAAGTCCATCATCTCTGAGTTTAAACGCTCACTAATTGCTTCATCGGTCGCCTCTGTCCGTCCTCCATTGCAGGCGGGTTTCAGGAATGTGTGGACTTGCTGGTGGAGGCGCGTGGTGCAACGGGCGACGAGCTGAGAGCATTTGGTGGGTCATTTGTGTTGACGTTGTAACGATTCCTTTTGTCGTGCACGCACCACGTGGACCGTTGGGCATTCTTGATTTGTGTGTCATGATGCGTTTGTTCTCACCTGCTATCTTGCTGCCCCCCCCTCTTTCTGCTATGCTCGTGCCTGCCTTGTTGGGTTTGTTTGTTCAAGCCGCCAACACGATCCAGGCCGCCTTTCGAGTCTTTCAAGCAAAGAGGATTCTGCAAAATCTTCGCAAGGTATCGTTGCAAACTGCCGTCAACAGCTTGTTCCTGCGTCATGTTTCCTTTGCTCTGGTCATGTGCACTCACGCCTGTGCCCCTCACGGCTTCGCATGTTGTGACTGCAACTTTGTTTCCGCACGATAGCGAAAGCAGAGCAATGCGGCGATTGTCATTCAAGCGGCAGCCCGCGGGTTCCTGGAGCGAAACAGATACAAAAGCATGAGGGAGGACCCATCGCAGCGGCATCAACAGCAGGAACCAGCGAACAAGGTGCTCTACTGAACACTTGAACACCATCACCTGCATTCCCGCATGCGAGCGTGCAGGTTTTCCTGCCTGCTTCGTCTATATACTTACACACACGCACACCAAAAAACAACCAAACCACACACACACACACACACACACACACACACACACACACACACACAAATACACCAAAAAAACAAAAAAAAAACACACACACACACACGGACACACCACTTAATTTTGTTGATGCGTGCAGGATGACGAGGAACGGAAGCGGAAGGAAGAGGAGGAGCGGCGGCGGCGACAGCAGGAGGAGGAAGAGAGGAGAGAGCGCGAGCGAAAGGCAAAGGCGGAACAGGAAGAGAAGCTACGCAAGAAGAAGCAGAAGCAGGAACAAGAGGTGCGATCAGATGTTGTTGTCTTGCTTGGGGCTGCTGCTGCTGCTGCTGCTGTTGGGATGCTGTGAGAGGCATTGCAAGGGACTCACGTGTCAACTTGCTGAACAAGTCAGCATTCCTCTCACAATACCATCATCTGGTTTCTCGCTGTGTGTGTGCGTATTTTGCGATTTGTTTGATGGCAGCGGCGTCGACGCGAAGAAGCGCGAAAGAAGAAGGAGGCGGAAGAGCGCAAGAAACGCGAGCAAGAAGGTGACTGTGTGTCTGTGCTGTGCTGTGTGTGTGTGTGTTTTGCATGTGTGCGTGTGTGTGTCTGTGCTGTGCTGTGCTCTGTGTGTGTGTGTGTGTGCGTGTGTATATGCATGTGCGATGCTCTACCACATACTTCATTGCCGTCCACCCGCCCCTTCCATTCCCGACACACCTCTCACATCACATCATGGCCACACCCCGCCCCCGATCTGCCGTGTCTGTTTGCATCACCAGATTTGAAGCGTTCGCAATCGCTGCGACTGCAGGAGGAGGAGGAGCGGCGTCTTGATGAAAAGCGACGGGCGGAGGAGGAAGAGAGGAGGAAGCGTGAGCGTGAACTTAAGCAACTTCGTGAGGAGCGACAGTCATCCCAACGACTCATGACGGTACGCACGCAAGCGTGTGTGACTGTTGGTTGACACTGTTTTTTGTGTTGCGTCATGTCACTGCGCTATTTGCACCCCGAAGCGCACGCAATGTGCACGCACGCACCGCGCCATCAATAGCACTATTATTACACATTCACACACAGGATCAGCTGACGCGCTGACCTATTTTTTGCATCATGGCTGGTTGGTTGTGCTTCTTGCGCTTGGGTTGCTTGCAGGCATTGCGGGGTCAGCAAGCGCGCCAAAGCGTCGTGCGTCGCGAGCAGGAGCGGCTGCAGCTGCTGCGACAGAAAATCCGAGTGCGTGTGCGCGCGTGTGTGTGTGTATTTGTGTGTCTTGCATGTCATGTGTTGAGCACACGCTTGCTTCGTGTGGTGTGGGCGCGAACAATCTTTGAAATTGTGCGGCCTGCTAATTTTCGCGTACAAGCATGTGCCCCACAAGCTTATTTTTTTTGTGTCCTGGTTTTGTTTCCTTTCTGTCTCAACATCGTACGCAGGCGGCAACAGCCATCCAGCAGTGGTGGCGTGTGTGCAAAGCAAGGCAGCGCCAGCTTGAAGGGTAGGTTGCCTGACCTGAACAGCATGCACGGACCGCGAGTGTTTGCTTAGCATGCAAATCCCGACATGACAGGCGCATCGTCTCTACACACACACACACACACACACATGTGCACACACACACATGTGCACACACACATTCACACACACATTCACACTCACACTCACACACTCACACTCACATACACATACATTCACACACATACACGCACACACATACACTCACATACACATACACTCACACACATACACGCACACACATACACTCACACACACATTCACACACTCACACAATCACACCCAATCACACACAATCACACACAATCACAGGTACCCCACTGGGTTGACACCTGTCGAGTCACCAAACGCCACGCGACGCAAGAAGAAGCCACGATCCCGGACAACGAGTCCGCAAGGTGGAAAGGGGCGTTCACCGCGACGGCAGCAGCGCCGGGCAAACGGACGCTCGCTCCTGACACACACGCGGGAGGAGGACCGCAAGCGGTTGGTGGCGGCACTTACGATTCAGCTGTGGTGGCGGCGGTATTTGGCGCGCAAATACGCCAAGCGTCGCCAGCGCACACGTGTGCAGCTGCATGGCCCAGCAGTGTCCAATCGACAGCAGGCGAAGCGCTTGGTGACGGTGTACAACACGACAGGGAAGGCGCCATCGTCCACACGTGTGCGGCAGTTTCAACCGAAACCGCAACGCGCTGTTCGCACACACTTGCTGCCCGAACCGCCATCCCCAGTAGATCTCTCTTGGGCGTCGGCAGCATGTGAGTTGGCACTGCGCGTATGTACTGTGTGACATGACTGTATGTGTGTGTATTGTGGCTGTATGTGTGGATTATGTGTATTGTGTGTGTGTGTGTGTGTGTGTATTGTGTGTCTGTGTGTGAAAGGAAGTGAGCGTTCTCTGTTGCTTTGCGTTTCACCCTTTCATTCACAGTTCTGACTCAACCACACCCCTGCTACCCCCACGCCTGCCCTCCCATCCCTTTACCAGCGACGTACTTCAAGCCGCCAAATCCTGGCCGCCGCCGCCCGCGCGGTCTCCATGCAACGCGACGTGAGTGAAGCGGGATGTGGTCAAGCGTGTGGCAGCGAAGCGTGTGACTTTTTTTTTGTTTTGCAACAAGTGTACTCGCCTGCGCGCTTTTGCTTGCCTATTCAGAGAGCATGCAGAGTCGAGGAAATGAATGTACAATGAGAGTGCGAGAAGGGTGTGTGTGTGTGGTGTGTGCCTTCATGCGTATGGCAGCATGTGTGTTCCTTTCTTCAGCGTTTACTCGCCGTTGCCGTGAAAGCGTGGGCATTCTAATTTGTGGACTGCAGGAAAGCCAAGTGCTTTCATTCGTTGCACTGCCGCCACTTCTTCACTCACCAACGGCTCTTGCGTTGCATGTACCCATTTGAATGCCACGTGCGCTCAGGCCGCCAACGCCAGCCCGCGTATGCCAACATGCAGGACCCGGAACACATGCTTACGCTGCCCATCATCCACGGAACACAGGTACGCCATGTTGTGCACGTGGTACATAGTGCGTGCCGTAGTGCTGCTGGTTTGGTGTTTGAGAATGGTTTTTGTGTTCTTGTTTGTCGTGTGCTGGAACGCAGTTGGCATCTGCTCCAGTGATTCTTCTCTTTCTTTGTTGTGTGTTTGATTGTCGTTGTGCGTGTGTTTCCTCGTGTGGCTGCCGGCTGTGGTGCATGTTGAGGTTGCTTGTTGCCTCAGCAAGACTTCACCAACTCGCCCTCGCCCATCTCATAATACCGCCACCACTTCACAACGGCCTTGCTGTCCGCGCGTATTGTGTGTTTTGTGTCTGTCAGGGTTCACGAAAGAACGATGCTCGCCTCAATCAGGCCGTCTCGCTCCCGCCCGTGTGACGCGCGCTTGTTACTCCATCACATCGCACACATACACACAAACATGAAGTGCAATTTCCATTTCCGCTGGAGAGGCAGCCACACATGGTTGCATTGTGTCGGTGCTTTGGGGCTCGTGCGTTTGGTTGGTTGTTTGTTTGTTGCTTCATGTGGACCTGTTGGTTCAACTTTTTCTTCTTCTTTTTGGTTTGGCGCGGTTGTGCGCACGTGCTTCTGTTGCTGCACACCACAACTCTACAACTCCTGATCTGGTTTGTTGTCGTGTTCTGTGTTTAATTGTCGTTCAGTCACACAATCCTAACCTGCCTGTGCCAATGATCAACGTGACATGGCCGAAATGAAATGATCAATTTGTTTGAGGGTCGTTTTGGATTGGTCGTTTGATGGTATGGCGCCCCTTCATGCATTCTTTCATTCATTCATTCATCTCGTTTGCTTTTTCTTTGGTGCAGCCATAAATAATGGTTCCAACGCGTCCTGTGAGCGTGCATGCACGTGTGTATGTGAGCGTGCGTACGTGTGTATGTGAGCGTGCGTACGTGTGTGAGTGAGTGAGAGGGTGACTGACTGATTGAATGAGTGTGTGCGTGTATGCGTGAGTGAGTAAGAGGGTGACTGACTGATTGAATGAGTGTGTGCGTGTGCGTATGGAGAAGGTCTGGCGATACTGTTGCACCAAACCCTTTCCCATCCTCGAGCCATGCATTTACCGGCTTGTGGGAAGAGAATGGGGAATAAGGAGTGCCAACAACAGCAATTGGGTTTCCTTTGCGGTAGAACCGCCACACCCTGTCATATGAGGACACAAAGGGGAAGAAGAGGCACATGATCACATGTGTCACCGCAACAAGTGAGAGACAGAAAGCACTGTCAATCGTCCAACTCTCTCCACACACACACACACACACACACACACACACACTCTCTCTCTCTCTCTCTCTCTGTCTCTGTCTCTGTCTCTCCCCTTTCTGCTGTGTCACCGCACCCCTTGTGAAATCCGCGTACGTCCAGGTCCCACAGGTGCCAGCACTTTGCGAGCTGCAGCCACGTCTCGTGGTCGCCTGCACTCTTCATTGTCATGTACAGCACGAGGGGCGTGTTGGTGTTCTCGAGTGCATCTGGCACCATTGTGCCACACGGCTGCTGCGTGTCCAGAATGTGCGACGCCGCAATCTGCCGACGGAGGGCCGCGTCATACGCCTGATGTGTGTGTATGTGTGTGTGTCAGTGTGGATGGTTTGCATTTGCTTGTTTTGTCACGATTCTGTCAACTGGCATAGCAGCCCAAACACACACACACACAGGACTCCCCCTGCAAACAAGCACACCTCTGCGGTCATGTCTTGCGTGTTGACGACCGCGGTCGGGTCATCGTTCAGGCGGTGCTTGGCAAAGTAGAGTTTCTGGAAGTAGTCGTTGACGTTTAGGCCTGTCGCCCCGAAATGGAACGTTCGTGACACATCGGGAACGATGCACTCGCGGTCCTTCCTGTTTTCGTTCATGCGCATCCACATGTCCCAATCCCCTGAAAGAACACAAGGTTAAGGAGTCAACCAAGCGTACGTGTTGTGAGCAGGTGTGGGGTGAGTACGCACGAGCAGGGCTTTTAGGAGTGGAGAACACACACACACACACACATACACACGCACGCACATACATGCACACGCATGCACATACACACACACACACACGCACGCACGCACGCACGCACGCACGCACACATGCACACACACACACATACACACATACACACACATCACCATCAACCCCCGATCAGGTGTGCTTACAGAGCTTGTCGGGCCCCGGCCACCTTGGCTCGAGCTCCTGCTTGTAGAGACGACGGGAGAGCAGCCAGCCAAGTCCCGGCATCGTCTCGACGCGGTACAGCCTCGTCACATCGCCCGTGGAGTGGGTGTACCCTTGATCGTTCCACGCCGATATGCAATAGAGTGTGGGGTCGCTCTTGAGAAGGGGAAGGGCGGTGGAGAAGAAGCGGAAAAAGTCTGGAGCGGCGTCCAAGTCCTCCTCCATTACAATCACATGCTCTGTTGGTGTGGTGGTCGTGTTGGGCGTTGTCAATTGTGAGTTGGGGTGATGGAGTTGTATGTGTGCCTCATGTGTGCGCGTGCATGCGTGCGCGTGTGTGTGTTGAATGTATCGGATGGTTGCATGTGTGTGTGCATGTGAAAAGAAATGGTGGTGTGGAAACATGGTTCTGTGGGGGTGGGTGCTGTTCGTTGCCTGCAAGCACGAACACAGTTGACACCATGTCACAACTCCATTTACAGCCACGCCCACCGCGCACCTGCATCTTTGAAGCGATCAAACATGGCGGTGAGAGCAAACTTGTAGTGCTGTGAAATGCGGCCGTTCTTTTCGCTCGTCGGACGATGGCGCATCGCTGCACGAACGCGCGTGTGTGTGCAGATATGTGTGTGTGTGTTTGTTTGTGTGTGTGTGTGTGATGAGTGAGAGAGACAGAGAGAGAGAGAGAGAGAGAGAGAGAGAGAGAGAGAGAGAGAGAGAGAGAGAGAGGGCTAAAATTCGGAAACACTCACAACTCAGCGCATAAAGAAAGCGTGCGACATAAGAAACAAGCTGCTTGGGCGTAACTCACTATTGGTTGTCATTGGCAATTCCCACCCGTATGATAGAACTGATCACAAAAAAAGTGAGTATGCACAAGGACAGACTCCATGTATCCACTCTAGAGAGAGAGAGAGAGAGAGAGAGAGAGAGAGAGAGAGAGAGAGAGAGAGAGAGAGAGTGTGTGTGTGTGTGTGTGTGTGTGTGTGTGTGGTGAGTGGGGCTGAGTGGTGATGAGTGAGTGGGTGAGTGAGTGTGCAAAACGCGTAGTGCAAAGAGAGTGCAACACAAAGGGCATGGACGCGCGATCGTCACGTGCGACACGCTACCCTTCCCAATCCCTTCTCACCCCCTGCCCTGGTTGGTGATATGACGCACCAGTGACGCCAACGAGTTTGCACACGTCCTCCGCTTCCATTTTATCAACACCATCAATGGACACGACAATGTTGGATGGAATGCAGCCCTGGATGGCACAGGCGGGAGGGGAGGGAGTAGGAAGTTTAGCTGCTGTCATACGCGGATTGGGGACGGTAGTTCACAAGTGACTCGAAAACATCCAAACAAACAGGAAGAGAGACAGGCCACGCCGGCAGGTAGGTAGGCACAGACACACACAGACAGACACGCACACACGCAGACAGACACGCACACACACACAGACAGACATGCACACACACACACACAGACACGCGCGCACACACACACACACAGACGCACAGACACAGACACACACACACACACATCACGGCACATGTGCACCTGTGCGGCGAGGAGGGAGCGAAGGGAGCGGAGGAGGTATTTGGGACGATTCTCACTGGCCATAATGACGAGCGGTGTCGTCGCCATGTTGCTGTCGTGCAGTGAAGACGCGGTGGTGTAAGGTGGTATGACACATGAGCGCTGATTGCTATGTTGCAGTTGAGTGTGCATAGACACGCGAAGCTATTGCATGCACGCACACAAACACAGACACACAGACACAGACACACACACACACACAGACACAGACACACACACACACACACACACACGTGTGCACGCGAATGAGATAGTAAACGTGCACGACGTACGGGAGAGGGGGTGCAGGTGATGGCGACGGAGCAATGGCTGGTGGATGGTCGCATCTGCACAGCTCGCCGTAGCCGTCGTAGCGCGCACAGAACGCGCGACTGAAGGGCGGGAGTCGGCGTGGGAAGGCGCAGGAGAGATGAAGAAAAGACCAAGAAGGAAAACATGGGTCAGCAACGTGGAAGCACAAATAGCACGCACATGTGACATACACATGCACACATGCACCACACACACACATGCACACGCACGCACCGTTGTTTGAAGTGGGGAGTGTCTGGCCAATTGCAACCGTTGTCTTCGGCATGACGCTCAAACTCAGCAGACACCTGAATGATGGGGTGGTGGTGGCCGTGTCAGTCAGGGTGTTGTGTGTAAGATTCTTCTTGTCTCGCGGATGCACACACACACGTTCACACGTTCACACGTTCACACACAGACACACAGACACACACAGACACACATAGACACAGACACACAGACACACAGACACACACAGACACACACACACACACACATTCACACATTCACACATTCACACACACACACACACACACACGCACAGCCCCAACCTCGACGCCTTCCCCCCAGTGGTTGAAGTCTGGGGCGCGGGCGAGGGCATCGGATGTTTTGTCCGGCGATCCGACCCGCGCCACCATTGCCCACGTGTCACGCCACTGCAACTGCCCAATCTGAACACACGCAGAACATTTGAGCGAACGAGGACAAGTGTGTGAGCGTGTGCGTGTGTGAGTGTGCGTGTGTGAGTGTGCGTGTGTGAGTGTGTGTGTGTGTGACAGCGGCGTCGACCAAGCATGCAGAGCCACTGGAGCACAGCATCAACTATTGTTGTTGCAGCTTAGCCACACCTTGATGCTTCCCATCTTGATCAGTTCCATGCGCGCATCATTCTGTGACACCAGCCAAGGTGTGCGCGCATTTGATGTGAGGTCATTGTTGTGCACAAGTGAGCAAGCAAAAGCACACCCCCACACCCCCCCACACACACACACACACACACACACACATATACACGAACGCATGCGCGCGCACACACGCACACGCACACAAACACACACACCCCGAGATGGAAACTGGCTTCATCGCGAACTGCAAGCGCGACGATGCGATTTGGATGAATGCCTCGGAGGTAAGACAGCAGCCCTGCACGTGCCCCGTCGCCAAATGCGCCATGTGAGGCAAGTGAGGTGAGTGAGCACCCTCACGATGTGTCACAGGCAGCAAGCAAGCACAGCCAAGCAGACAAGCAATACAGCAGCAGAGAGGCACACACACACACACGTAGGTCGGCGCCCTCGACGTAGGTGTCAAACTTGTTGGTGTCCATCAGCGCACCCGTGTGCCCATTGATGACGGCCACGTGGATACCACGCCCAGCTTCGCCCGCAGACTCGCCAACCTCCAACACAGTGTCATCGTTCACGCTGATGCGCGCCAATGCTTTGCTGGAGTAAGCTCGCACGCGAAGTGGCTCTGAGGATTGCACGTGTGCACGCTTGTCCTCTGCTTCTGCCATGGTATGTTGCGGCGTGGTGGCGGTTGTGGTCGTGGTCGCCATGTTCACACGTCCACCAGCGATGGAAATGTCCCCATCTTCATACATGGTCATGACATCAGTCCCATGCCCTGTGGTGCGCATGCGTGTGTGAGTGAGTGAGTGAGTGAGTGGGCGTGTGAGTGGGTGAGCAAGTGAGTAAGTGTGAGAGCGAAAAAGAGAGAGAGAGAGAGAGAGTGTGTGTGTGTGTGTTTGAAGGACAAGCCTGCTCGCTTACTCGCTCGCATGCTTGCTCGCATGCTACATCCACGTTGCTTCAACACAAGACTCTCTCTGTCTCTCTCCGCCTCCAACCACACGCCAACACACCTTCTGGGTGGTATCGGTTGGGAGCGTTGTACATGGAATACAGGAACGCAAAGTTCCCCACCACCGTGATCAGCAGCACAGTGTTGACCAACACTCGCCATGACACAGCCATGCGTGTACACAGGGGATGGTCGTGCACTTCAAAGGTTCGTGCGTTTCCTTCCTTGCTTTGGTCGGTTGAAGTTCTGAAATTTCGCGGGCAGCGTTCCTATGTTTCGGCAAGGGCTTTGTTTGTGTTTGGCAGTGCTGTGACAGTGAACATCGCACTTCGCGCATTGACTCTCGTGCCACAGACGATCACCACGGACCGCCATGTGTGTTCGCGCATCGCTGGTGCTGCTCACTGTTGCTGTGTGCGTATGCTTGTGTGCCTGTGACGTCCACGCAACGACATACTATGTGTCGCCAGCACACGGGAGTGACAGCAACCATGGCAAATCTCCGTCAAAGCCATGGAAAACGCTGGCCAAGGCGTCTTCGCATCGCTTCGTCTCAGGTTGTGCACTGCACTGCACTGCACTCCTTTCATTGATTGATGTGAAGTTTGCTGACACGCGTTGCGCAGCACCACCTCCCTCCGTCCCCCTCCTCCTCCTTGTCCTCTTTTGTTCTGTGTATGCGCAGGTGCAGTGCTTCGCCTACTTGAGACCATGCCACGACGTCCACGCTCACACTGTGTCATGCTTGTCCTGTTGATTTCTGTACGCCTTCACCCTGCGTGATGCAGGCGACTCACTGCTGTTGGAGCGAGGCGGCAGATTCCACAACGAGACGCTGTTCATTGCACCGGTAGATGGCTTTGTGCTTGGCGACTATGGCTCTGCCAACTTGTCGAGGCCAACAATCGTGCACTACCGCCCGTCAACCAAGTCCTATGTCAACTGCGTGGAGCTCGTCGACGTTGACAACGCTGTCGTGCGCAACATCCATTTGGCCGGGTGAGCTGCCATCTCTTGCCATTGGGCACATGCTACACCTACTTAAATATGCGCAAGGCTCACACACATACACATAGATATAAGAATACATGTATACACACACACACACACACGTGCACACACACACGCACACACGCACACATACGCACATGAATTGGCACCCTTACGTACCCCCCCCCCCACACACACACGGCAGGTGCTTCATTGGCCTGCAGTTTTCATTCACACCGGGACGAAACCACTCCAACGTGCTGGTGGACAACTGCCACCTGCGGGACCTGCACCATCCATATGAGAGCTATCAGCCATCCGACCCCCAGTGGGCACGCGCCATCTCCGTTGTTGGCAGCGGCGGCGGCGCGTTTGTGTCCAACTTCACGGTGCAGCACACCACCGCCACGCGCATCGACACGTTCTTTGGGTCTGGCGGGGTGTTCATCTCCGGGCTGAACCTCGACAGCAACACGGTGGCGCAGTGCGGCGGCAACTGCTATGGCCTCAGCGGCGGCACAGACATGCACATCACCAACTCCGTGTTCCTGCGCGACGCACCGGAGACGCTGTTCCTGTATGGCACGACAGATGTCATCATCGGCACCATCAGCGGAGACAACTCCATCGAGGACTGCGACTTCAACACGCGCGGCGAGTATGAGGCGGGCCCCGATGGGTGTGCCATTGACTTTGAGACGTCTGCCATGGGGTTTGCCATCCGCGGCAACACCATCTACCGCTCTTGGGGCGGTGGCATCATGGTGTTTGGACACGCCACCACCTCGCACGGCTTCAACATCTCCGACAACACGTTTGTGTACGCCGGGTGCGTGCAGCCCCGCGACGACAAGGCGGGGATTGCTTTCATGTGTCCTGGCGGCCACAAGCCGAGCGGGCTGGTCTCTGACAACGTGTTTGTCACGTGCGACGGCGTTCCTGCCATGTTCGATGCTGTCAAAGGGTGCAGCAACAACGTGACCAAGATCAACAACTCCATCGACGGTACTGCTGTTGTTGAGCAGCCGCAGATCACCTTCTCCCCGCCACCACCGACCTCCAACGCCACCCGCGTCACCATCCCGGCCCTCGCTGTCACCCGCACAGCCAACGCCACGATCCGCTACACGCTCGACGGCTCGCGCCCCACCACCTCGTCGCCCGTCGTGCCCGCTGGCGGCGTGGCCATCACGTGGCCGGGCCCGGACATCGTCATGAATGTGCGCGCGTTCCACGCCGGCATGAGGCCGTCAATCACCAATGGCGTCGTGATTGAGCGCAGCCTGTACCGCCCGCGCGGGTCGGCCGGCATCGGATATGTGCGCAGCAACCTGGATGCACTCACGGTCAACGCGAGCAGTGGTGGCGAGGCGTGGGTGCGTGGCTGGGCGGTGGACACGAGCCTGCCCGGCTTGGGCCGCGAACCCGTCACCGTGCGTGTGGACGTGGATTTGCAGCCGGTGGCGTACGTGGTGGCCAGCCTGGCCCGTCCTGACCTGGTGGCCGCTGGCGTGGCGCCCGACCCAAATCACGGCTTCAATTTGCAGCTGAGTGGCACGATTGCGCGCTCTCTGCTTTCGGGCAACCACATTGTGGACGTGTTTGTGGTGGATTCCCCCATGACACGCCTGCAGCCCACGCGCGTGGCCCTCTCGCCAATGTGCACATGCAACGGCGTCGTTTGCCCTTGCTGATGTTTGTGTGTGCGTATGTTTGTGTGTGCGTATGCATGTGTGTGCGTGTGCATGTGTGTGAATGTTTGTGTGTGTGTGTATGTGTGTGCGTGTGTGTGAATGTTTGTGCGTGAATGTTTGTATGTGTATGTGTGTGTGTGCGTATGTATGTGTGTTTGTGTGTGTGTGTGTGTGTGTGTGTGTGTGTGTGTGTGTGTGTGTGTGCGTATGTATGTGCATGTGTGTGTGTGTGTTTGGGTTGGGATTGTGCTCCTTCAGCGGTTCTTGATCCTCCCTCTTTCCTGCAACCACCTGTGTTACCTCATTTCGTTGCAGCTTGCGCTGTCCTGAGTGTGCTGTGTTACCCCTACCGCTGCTGTTGTTACCCTCTATTCCCGGGGTGGAAGCCTTGTTCTTTGGAAGTGTGTTGTGAGACAAAGCACACACTGGAACCCTCATCATCATCAACCAACAACTCTCCTTCAGCTCCCACCGACGTTTGATGAAGATCATGAACAATTTTCAGCAACCACAACCAAACAACACAGCAGACGACGGAAGATGGACGTGGAGCGAGTGGAGTTTGATGAGGAAGTGGAGGCGGCCATCGCCGAGGTGAGGGTGACAGCAGCGGCAGTAATTGTGGCGGCGGGTGCAGTGGACTGTGTTGGGACAGTAAACGAAAGGGGCGCACGGTTTACATGAGCTGACTTGGGCCGTGGACGTGCGTGCTTGTGTTTTCGTGCTGTGCTTTTATTGTGTTTGGGTTGTTGGCGTGTGTCACTGACATGTCGTCGCATATACGCGCGCGCGCACACACACACACGCACACACACACACACACACAACACGACACGCACCATCCGTGCATGCAGCTGTTCCCGAGCGATGACCCTTTGGATGACCTGCACTTTGACAGCGTGGAGTACATCAACTCGCTGTTTCCCAACGAACAGGTGCGTTTTTTTTTTTTGTTGTTTGTTTGTCTGGCAGCGAGGAGTGTAGTGCGTGGGTGTGAAAATCATGGTTGCGCGCAAAGCTTTGGACGCTGCGCTTGTTGCAAAGCCAAAGCGATCCGTGCTCGAGGTCACTGGCGATTAACGTTGCGCGTGCACACCCTCTTTTACTGCCGCTAGTCGTTGTCGAGCCTGGACGGAACAGTTGCGCGGTTGAAGAAGAAGCTGCGCGTCGTTGACGAAGACATCCAGTCGTCCATTCGATCTCAAACACGCGCCGGCAATGACGGCCAGCAGGCTCTCGAAGATGTACGCCGTGTGTTGTGTGTACTGTGTGTTGTGCTCTGTGTGTGTGTGTGTGTTGTGTGCTGTGTGTGTGTGTGTGTTGTGTGTGTGTGTGTCCGTGTGCGCGTATGTATGCCTTGTGTTGTATGTTTGCTGGTGATTCAGTTGCCGCGGTTTGTGGTGATGTTCACACAAGCCATTTGTTTGTTTATGCTAATTGTGTCACGTGTGTGGCGTCCTTACAGGCGCAACAAGGCATGTCTGAGCTGTTGTCGCGGATCCGCAACATCCGCACCAAGGCCGAAACATCGGAGAAGATGGTTCAGGTCAGTCAGTGGACACAACTACAACATAACAGCACACACAATAGTACACAGGGTGTTTCGTCTGCTGCTGCTGCTGTGGCAGTGTTGCTTGACTGAGCATCATCACCCCTGTAACTGTTGTGCGATTCGCGGCATTTCGCTTTCCCTCACTGCAGCATGCCCTTGCTCATGCCCTTTGTGTTCTTCGCTGCGAATGCCAGGAAATCACACGTGACATCAAGTCGCTGGACAACGCCAAGCGCAACCTGACCACATCCATCACTACCCTTAATCACCTCCACATGCTGGTTCGTTGTGCGCGAAGCGCACGTGTATGTGTACAAGTGTGTGTGTGTGTGTGTGTGTGTGTGTGTGTCGTGTGTGTGTGTGTGTGTGGATTGTTTATTGTTATGTGTGTGAATGTGCGTGTGTGTGCGTGTGTTTGTGTGCACCTGTGCATCTGTGGAGAATGTGTCTTACTGCATGCATGCCCCCAATGCCGCTGCGTTCCTGTGTCATCGTCGTCACCCTGCACTGCATCATGCCATGGGCGGCCAGGTTGGCGGCGTTGACACGCTGGAGTCGATGACCAAGCGCCGACAG